AAAATCCCCCCCCCAATGTAAGTGCGCAACCCAATATGACCAAAAACCCCAACAAAAGAAAAGGAATTGCAAAGGTCAAATATGGTCTAAAAAAAAAAAAAAAAAAAAAAAAAAGGGAGGGCACCCCCCAATGCAAGTGCAAGATACGGGCAAGAATCAACCAAAGATCTCCCAGAAATTGTTTGCAAAGCCCAGTACGATCTAAAAAAAAGGTACCAACCCCCCAAAGCAAAGACCAGCATGGGCAAGAGTGAACCAAAACTTCTCTCAGAAATCAAGTGAAAAGCCTAATATATACTAAAAGGAACCAAGCACATGCCCCCCCCCACAAAGCAAATGGTATGTGCTCAAAGGAACGCAAATCCCCCCACAAAGTAAGTGCAAAGCCCAGCATGGGCAAGAGTGAGCCAACCTCCCCACCCCCCCAAAAAAAGGGAAAAAGTACAAAGCCCCAGCACAGGCAAGAATCCTCCAAGAAGGCAAGTAGGAAGCCTAGCAGGGGCAAGAATGAACCAAAAATGCACCATAAAGCAAATACAAAGCCCAGCACTGGCAAGAATGAACCAAAAATCCCCCCAGAAAGCAAGTGCAAAGCCCAGTATATGCTGAAAGGTAACAAAATTCCTCCCACAAAGTGCAAAGCCAAGTATAAGATATCTACTAATCTCCCATCCATCAGAAGTCCCTGGGGACTTTAATTGACTGCTCTACAAAGAAGTGTAGGATTGCCCCCTTGGGACTTACCTAGGTTGACAAAGCTCATGACCATGTCAGCGTCATTGAGGAAGTTGCTGTCTTGCTGGCTGGCCAGTGGTGGCCCCTGGGTGGTGAAGATGGGTTTATAAGGGTAAGAAAAGCCTTCAGCTTCTTCCTCCTCCACCGTCATGGCATTGTACAGATCCAGCATGAACATCGGGGCTGAGTTCTGCTTCCCATACAAGTGTGGCCGAGGTCTATGCGGCAAGCCCAGGATGGAAAGGATCTCCCTCTGCATCTCCCGCCGCTCCTGGCTGCGCAGCCTTCTCTGGATGAAGCTGGAGTGGACCTCATTGTCCAAGGTGAAGTCGGCCAGGAGGAATCTGAAGAGCAGGTAGAGCACCGCGGACGTGGTCTTCAGAGGACCCTTCATTTCCCCTGGAGGTGTAGGGAGAAGATCGGAGCACCTGCGCTTCTATCCCAAGGGGAGTTCATAAAGAGAGGGCCATCCGACCAAGGAGGACCATCGGAGATCGGAGCCTGCTGGTGGCCTCCTGAGCATCAGCTGAAGCCGGCCATCTCCGCACCAGTGGGACCCGACCAGTCTGCCCAGTTCCTGGTGGATTGTGAAGGCAGAGGAGGCAGCAGGAGGCTGAATGTGATGGGAGGGGAAGGGATCTGGGAGGAGGGAGTGCGAGCAAAGAAAGAAAGTTTAATGCGCTGCCAGATCCCACCAGGTTACTTCTCTGGAGGGTCCCAGAGACTGAGCTCAGGTCAGCACCGCTCGTAAGAAGGCAGCAATGCTCTCCTCTGCTGCAAGAATAGGAGGTGGATGAGGGAGCAGCGGGGGAGAACTAGGGGAGTAGCGGGCAGAGCAAGAGAGTAGCGGGCAGAACTAGGGGAGCAGCGGGGAGAACTAGGGGAGTAGCGGGCAGAGCAAGAGAGTAGCGGGCAGAACTAGGGGAGCAGCGAAGAGAACAAGAGAGTAGCGGGCAGAACTAGGGGAGCAGCGGAGAGAACAAGAGAGCAGCGGGCAGAACTAGGGGAGCAGCGGGGAGAGCAGCGGGGAGAACTAGGTGAGAGCAGCGGGCAGAGCAAGAGAGAGCAGCGGTGGAAGGAGCGCTCCTGCCCAGGGCGGATGATGCCCCATAATGTGCTCACAGATGGGGTGATGGCGCACCACCATAGGACAATTCCAGGTAGAAGATCTTCTAAGGAGAGATATCAGTCTGATGATTCTCCGATTTTTCAGACAATGTCATTAATAGAGCAATTATCCCTTCCAGAGAAACAGCTGAGTATAGAGGTGATCTAATCAGAAGCTATTCAAAGCAAAACAATTAGGAAACCCTGATCGATCGATCACTCAGTAATTGTAGGAGCTACACAAGTGTTATCACCAATATTCCTTCTATTGGCTTTAGTGCCGAGATTTTGTTGCAAACAGGGATGCATTACCCCAAAGTTCTCTACTATTATCCATGCAATCTTGGCACCGACCCTTCCTATAACCCCCACACCGACCCTTCCTATAACATCATTGGTCCTCCCTATAACCCCAACACCGATCCTTCCTATAACCCCAACATCCCTATAAACCCTTCCTATAACCCCAACATTGATCCTCCCTATAACCCCAACACCAACCCTTCCTATAAACCCAACATTGATCCTCCCTATAACCCCAACACCAACCCTTCCTATAACCCCAACATTGATCCTCCCTATAACCCCAACACCGACCCTTCCTATAACCCCAACATTGATCCTCCCTAAAACCCCAACACCAACCCTTCCTATAACCCCAACATTGATCCTCCCTAAAACCCCAACACCGACCCTTCCTATAACCCCAACATTGATCCTCCCTAAAATCCCAACACTGACCCTTCCTATAACCCCAACATTGATCCTCCCTATAACCCCAACACAGACCATTCCTATAACCCCAACATTGATCTCCCTATAACCCCAACACAGACCATTCCTATAACTGCAACATTGATCCTCCCTATAACCCCAATACTGATCCTCCCTATAACCCCAATACATTGATCCTCCCTATAACCCCAATACTGATCTCTCCCTATAACCCCAATACTGATCCTCCCTATAACCCCAATACTGATTCTCCCTATAACCCCAACATTGATCCTCCCTATAACCCCAATACTGATTCTCCCTATAACCCCAATACTGACCCTTCCTATAACCCCAACACTGATCCTCCCTATAACCCCAACATCGACCCTTCCTACAACCGCAACATTGATGCTCCCTATAACCCCAATACTGATTCTCCCTATAACCCCAATACTGACCCTTCCTATAACTCCAACACTGATCCTCCCTATAACCCCAATACTGATCCTCCCTATAATCCCAATACTGATCCTCCCTATAACCCCAATACTGAACCTTCCTATAACCCCAACACTGATCCTCCCTATAACCCCAATACTAACCATTCCTATAACTCCAACACTGATCCTCCCTATAACCCCAACACTGATCCTCGATTGTAAGCTCGAAAGAGCAGGGCCCTCGAACCCCTCGTGTACTGTTTTGTTACTGTCTTGTCTCATGTTCTGTCCCCCTCGCTACTGTACAGCGCTGAGCATACCCTTTGGCGCTATATAAATACTGTATAATAATAATTAGAATTTTGTGGCACAAATAAGAACATCAGGCTGCAGCATGTTCACTCTGTATGATCTTCATGAAGTAAAGGTGCATGCCTGGCTCAGCCCAGTGTGTAGCTCTTATCAGGCACCCCTAGTGACATTATCAGCCAGGATAGGGCTTATTACAAAGGTGTTTTTTTTATATATATATTATATATTATATATATATATATATAGATCTGGCTGTGGTAGATGTTCCTTGGCTGAGCCTTTTCAGCGGGTTAGGTTGGGTTGTCTTTGCTGATCGGTGAGTGTTCTCCCAGTCTCTCCTCCATTGATGTAAGCATGCATGTCAACTGAGCGGGCATATCCTGCATAATCCAGACCCCATGTCATGTCTGCAGGCTGCCTAATAGCAAATGCAAGCCAATCCACTATCACCTGGAGTAATCTGTCACATTCCAGACAGGAGACAGGAGCCTCTAATTGATATGCAAAGCTGCATTTCCTTTGTTAAACTGTCTGCGGCTCCGCCCTGGACTCTGTGGCCACCATGCACCTCATCTGAAAGCAGCTAGAAGGTCCACCATGTGGGTTTCCGGCTTCAGAGCCAGAACTGTGGGATCAAATCTTTTTATAGTTGTGTAAATTACAATTACAACCCATAACCTTTATTTAACCCCTAAATTAACCGCAGTTTTACCCTAGGATTGCTCCAGAGGTTGCTAGGGTTCCTTGACTTGTGGCTGACTATCCTCCTATCTGATGGTGCCTGGAACGAGATAGAGGGGATAAGGGAATTACCAACACCACTCGGAAAATGCAGCAGAATGACACCAGAGACCTTTTCAGCTGCGTGTAAAAGAGGCATTCTGATAGGGCTGCCACCCCATCCCTTTAAAACCGAACCCATATTAAGTACACAGGTTCTGAGGCTAATTTAGTGCACGAAGTAAGTTGAGTTACCACCTCAATCAAAACCTGTGTACCTAATATGGGTTCGGTTTTAAAGGGATGAGGTGGCAAGCCTACACTCTGACCAACATTGTAAGAAGCATTCTTCCCACTGACCTCCAATGTAAGGGACATTCTTCCCACTGACCTCCAATGTAAGGGGACATTAAGGGACATTCTTCCCACTGACCTCCAATGTAAGGGACATTCTTCCCACTGACCTCCAATGTAAGGACATTCTTCCCACTGACCTCCATGTAAGGGACATTCTTCCCACTGACCTCCAATGTAAGGGACATTCATTCTTCCCACTGACCACCAATGTAAGGGACATTCTTCTCACTGACCCCAATGGGGCATTCTTTCTACTGACCACCTAAGGAACATTCTTCTCACTGACCCCAATGTAAGGGACATTCTTCCTACTGACCCCCAATGTAAGGGCATTCTTCACCACTAAGGGACCACCAATGTAAGGGACATTCTTCCCACTGACCACCAATTTAAGGGACATTCTTCCCACTGACCACCAATGTAAGGGGCATTCTTCCCACTGACCACCAATGTAAGGGACATTCTTCCCACTGACCTTCCCACTGACCACCCAATGTAAGGGGACCACCAATGTAAGGGCATTCTTCCCACTGACCACCAATGTAAGGGACATTCTTCCCACTGACCCCAATGTAAGGGACATTTCTTTCCCACTGACCACCACTGACATTCTTCCCACTGACCCCCAATGTAAGGGACATTCTTCCCACTGACCACCAATGTAAGGGACATTCCCCACTGACCCCCAATGTAAGGGACATTCTTCCCACTGACCACAATGACCACTGACCCCCAATGTAAGGGACATTCTTCCACTGACCCACCAATGTAAGGACATTCTTCTCACTGACCTCCAATTAAGGGACATTCTTCCACTGACCACCAATGTAAGGGACATTCTTCCCACTGACCACCAATGTAAGGGACATTCTTCCCAATGACCACCAATGTAAGGGACATTCTTCTTCCCATGTAAGGGATTCTTCCCCCCCAATGTAAGGGACATTCTTCCCACTGACCCCCAATGTAAGGGACATTCTTCCCACTCACCAATGTGACATTCTTCCCCCCCAATGTAAGGGACATTCTTCCCACTGACCCCCAATGTAAGGGACATTCTTCCCACTGACCCCCAATGTAAGGGACATTCTTCCACTGACCACCAATGTAAGGGACATTCTTCCCACTGATGTAATGGTAAGGGACATTCCCCAATGTAAGGGACATTCTTCCCACTGACCCCCAATGTAAGGGACATTCTTCCCATGACCTAATGTAAGGACATTTCCCAATGTAAGGGACATTCTTCCCACTGACATTCTTCCCAATGTAAGGGACATTCTTCCCACTTCTTCTTCCCACTGACCCACCAATGTAAGGTAAGGGACATTCTTCCCACTGACCCCAATGTAAGGGACATTCTTCCCACTGATCCCCAATGTAAGGGACATTCTTCCCACTGACCCCCAATGTAAGGGACATTCTTCCCCTGACCACCAATGTAAGGGACATTCTTCCCCTGATCACCAATGTAAGGACATTCTTCCCACTGACAATGTCTTCTTCCCACTGACCACCTGACCCCCAATGTAAGGGACATTCTTCTCACTGACCCCCAATTAAGGGACATTCTTCCCACTGACCCCCAATGTAAGGGACATTCACCAATGTAAGGGACATTCTTCCCACTGACCCCCAATGTAAGGGACATTCTTCCCACTGATCACCAATGTAAGGGACATTTCTTCCCACTGACCCCCAATGTAAGGGACATTCTTCCCACTGATCACCAATGTAAGGGACATTCTTCCCAATGACCCCCAATGTAAGGGACATTCTTCCCACTGACCACCAATGTAAGGGGCATTCTTCCCACTGACCCCCAATGTAAGAGGGCTTTTTTCCCATGGGACCTCAATGAAGTGATTTATTGAGGGCTCCTTGGGACCTGATAATTGTTTTAGAGGCTTCTCTGTGGTAAAAAGGTTGAGGAAGACTGACCTAACTAGTAAACGTAACCCCTAACCTCAGCTCCTCTCTCCCTGCTGTAAAACCTTTGTTGATCAGCAGCTGCAAACGCTGACCAGCGTATTCTGACAGAGAGTACCGCTGTCAGGATTTATTGTCCAAACTGGGGGGATTCCTCCATTCACCTCGGTTGTGTGGATGGAGGAATCTGTTAGTTTTTTGGGTTTTTTTCCAATCAGCCCACTGACTGAACAAAAAAAGAAACATCTATGGCCAGCAACAAAGAACCAAACCATCCATGGCCAGCAACAAAGAAGCAAACCATCTATGGCCAGCAACAAAGAACCAAACCATCTATGGCCAGCAACAAAGAACCAAACCATCTATGGCCAGCAACAAAGAAGCAAACCATCTATGGCCAGCAACAAAGAACCAAACCATCTATGGCCAGCAACAAAGAACCAAACCATCTATGGCCAGCAACAAAGAACCAAACCATCTATGGCCAGCAACAAAGAACCAAACCATCCATATGGCCAGCAACAAACCATCTATGGCCAGCAACAAAGAAGCAAACCATCTATGGCCAGCAACAAAGAAGCAAACCATCTATGGCCAGCAACAAAGAAGCAAACCATCTATGGCCAGCAAGAAAGAAACAAACCATCTATGGCCAGCAACAAAGAAACAAACCATCTATGGCTGGCAACAAAGCAACAAGCCATCTATGGCCGGCAACAAAGAAACAAACCATCTATGGCCGGCAACAAAGCAACAAACCATCTATGGCCGGCAACAAAGAAACTAACCATCTATGGCCAGCAACAAAGAAACGAACCATCTATGGCCGGCAACAAAGCAACAAACCATCTATGGCCGGCAACAAAGAAACTAACCATCTATGGCCGGCAACAAAGAAACAAACCATCTATGGCCGGCAACAAAGCAACAAACCATCTATGGCCGGCAACAAAGAAACTAACCATCTATGGCCAGCAACAAAGAAATGAACCATCTATGGCCAGCAACAAAGAAACAAACCATCTATGGCCGGCAACAAAGAAACAAACCATCTATGGTGAGCTGGAGTTTGGCTGCAATTTGCTAGTGTATCTAAACATTCTAGTCCATCTAACAATGCCCTCCCCCCCAAAGTGACAATGCTGCTGTCCAAAGGTGCCCCTTCATCCAGAGTGGGGGTGCTCTAATACAGGAGGTGCGTTACTGGCCAGATCACCAGGGGAAATAAAAGAAAACTAATGCAGCCGCCACATCTCATGATTGCTAAGCTGCAATATATGACATTTTTCGGTTTTGGGTTTTAATACAACTTTAAATACATGCTCTCCACCAGCCGTAGGACAGAGCCCGAGGGCTGCTTTATCCAAAAGTCCTGATAATGGATAATCTGTTGCTCTGTGGCTGATATCAGACAGACTCTAAATTTCCAATCAGTGCTGTGTCCTCCTGTACAAGTCACTGAGCCAAGTGCTAAAAATATCAGAAAACTGAGGAGCGCTTCCTTGAAGCACCTGTGTGTACGCTCTGCAGCACAGGCAGCTTGATCCAAGGCGCCCTGAATATTCCAGGCATCTGGCCGGCCCATGGAAAGGAGCCGGTCAGAGAGGCAGTGGGGAATTTGCAGATCCTTCCTGTGATGCAACACTCTCTTATCTGACAATAACTCAGAAGATAAGGATTGTTGGAGGAAAACATTCCTGTAATCCAGAGAGCTGGGAGACAAACTGCAGAGCTCAGCTTCCCTCGGATCATCCACATTACTCCTACAGGAGAGGCCGAGCTCTGAACCCACATCCCGCTGTGTCCCTTAAAACTTGCCCATAGTCAGACAGATCGCACCCCGTGCACCTGTGTCTGGGTTTAGCCTTTGGGGAGGGGGGGGTCATGCTGCAGACACCTAAAGCCCCCGGAATATCAATTTTGGATAATAATAGCAGTTGGACATTGTTTTTTGGTTTCACTTGTCCATTTACCATTTTCCCCCGTAAAGTCTTTGCTGGTGGTATCTGCGGGTAACGCACAGACATTAGATGGTTATTCGATCGCATCAAAATGCAGCTGGATTGGGAGGCTGCCATGTGAAGTCTATAAACCCAAGTGAACCTGCGGCTGCTTCAGCACCAGTCACATGATGTATGAGGTTGGCCAAGCTGGCCGTAGACGTATATAAAGCTAGCCAAGCTGGCCGTAGACGTATAAAGCTGGCCGTAGACGTATAAAGCTAACAAAGCTGGCCGTAGACAGTTATTTTTTTTTATTTGTTTTCTTTTTTTTTCAGAAAAGACATAGGGTCCTTTCACACAGGCATTCCATTTTTTTCCTCAGTCCAGTCACATCAGTTTACATCCGTTTTATTACATCCTTTACCAATACAAAAATGGACATTATGTCCGTTTACATCTGTTTTTCATCCGCTTACATCCGTTTTTTATCAGTTTACATTTTTTTTTTTGTCTTTTTTTTTTTTTTTTTTAAACGGAAGAAAAATAGGGTTTTCTTCCCTTAGAAAAACAGATAACAGTTGCGAACATTAATGGATATAAACAGATGATCATCCGTTTACATCCGCTAGTCCTTAGAAATACATGGGTGTCCGTTTCTCATCTGTAAACGGACAGATGAAAAAGAAACACATGGAACACCGGTGTGAAAGGGGCCTAACAGATTCCTCCATTCCCACAAGTGAGGTTAATGGAGGAATCCTCCCTGCCTGGACATCGTATTCTTCTGCCAGTGGGACTCACCACTGTAAAAATACCCACTTAAAGACCAAGCATTTTCAGTATTTATTTCTAGAAAATTACTTATAAACCCCCAAATATTATCTATACATACATACACACACATTTTATATATATATATATATATATATATATATATATATATATATATATATATATATATATACACACATATATTTTTTTTTAAATTTTTTTTTTTTTAAGCAGAGGCCCTAGAATATAAAATAGCAATCGTTGCAATTTTTTATGTCACATGGTATTTGCTCAGCGGGTTTTCAAATGCAATTATTTTGGAAAAATACACTTTATTGAATTAAAAAAAACCCCACAATATATACCCCATGGTTTTTGTAAAATATGAAAGATGATGTTATGCTGAGTAAATAGATACCAAACATGTCACACTTTAAAAACGCGCACACTCGTGGAATGGCGACAAACTATGGTACTTAAAAATCTCAATAGGCGACGCTTTAAAAAAGTTTACAGGTTACTTGTTTAGAGTTACAGAGGAGGTCTAGCGCTAGAAATGATCGCTCTCGCTCTGACGTTCGAGAAGATAACTCACATGTGCTGGGAACAGTTTACATATGCGTGCGCGACTTGCATATGCATTCACTTCTGCACACGAGCATGGAGGGGATGAGGGCGCTTTAAAATGTTTTTTCCTTTCTTATTTATTTTGACGGGTCCTCTATATGGAGAGATTTGGGGTCAAAAAGACCCCAAATCTCTGCTTTACCTTTAAAAGCAAAAGATGAAGTTTTTTATGATCTTTTGCTTTTAAAGAAAAAGTTTACATCTGCCCTAGACCGGAAGTGACGTCATGCCGTCGCTCCGGTCCTCTGAGGCCATAGAGGCGATCAGAGATGATCTGGTCTCTCTTCCGTTCTGTGTCCAGCCGGCTGCACCGTAGGATCATTTCTCACAGATGAAATGACAAGTGGCGGGAAGGCATCCGGACCGTTTTCATTAAAGAGCCAGCTGCTAGCTGGGAAAAAAAAAAGATACCGGGGTATTCCGGTAAACCACTTGCATACTGCAACGTATATGTATGTATTGTGATCGGCAAGTGGATACACTGATCAGCGGCTACAGCCACTGATCAACAGAAGTTTTCCAGCATGTCACTTCAACAGAAGCCGATCAAACAACTGACTTCTGTTGAGCAGAGACAAACAACACACACCGAAATTCGAGCAGACACCACTGAAGTGGGCAAGTTTTGATCTGTCCATGGCCATCCTTATGCAGGCCATAGACGGGTCGAAAACCGGACGTTTTAAAGGAAAAAAAAAAAGAAAAATTGGTCGTTCAATCGGCCGACGTTACCACCAACAGTAAAAAAAAAAAATCCGCAGATTTTCGTCCCGTCTACGGCCGACATTTAATTACTTCTGTCCCTTGCAGAGAGCTTCGCTATAATATTTGACATGAAAAAGTATTGCGATTGCAACAATGTATCCATTACAGATACAGATGTTTTTATTCGGATACAAATGGATACATTGTTGCAACTACAAGACTTTTCATATAAATTATAATAGCGGACTGGAATTCTTCTTCTATTTCTTCTTCTTTTTTCTTATTCTGCTTCTTTTTCTTCTTCTTTTTCTTCTTCTTGCAGGTCACGGCCAGGGGCAGACTGACCATTTGGAAACTCGGGCACTGCCCGAGGGCCCAGGATCAGTAGGGGGCCTCATGAGATGCCCCTGGTACCTTTTCCATAGGCTTTTTTGAGTTTGGGACACATGACACAGGGGCCCCATGATCCCCTATTGCCCGGGGGCCCCATGAGTTGTCAATCCGCCACTGGTCACGGCTCATGCGCAGGTTTTTTATCGGTAAAACGATTTGTCCATCATTGCCGTCAAAATCTGCTGCAAATTTTCCAACTTTACCGATAAAAAAAAATGTGCCAAAACCCCGAAAAATGGCCGACCAATTAACCTACTAATGGTGCGAAAATCAGCCGATTTTTTTTTTTTTTCCCGGCCGATTTTCGACCCGTCTATGGCCTGCATTAGTGACAGCGTGGGTGCTTCCCGTTGACTGAACGGTGTGTTATTCTGCATTAGAGTACAGAGAAACCAGGAATCTTCCATATCTGCCATGGTTTGGGCGGAGAGGAAGCAGCACGCAGTGTCCAGAAAAAGCAACTT